TCTGTTGATAGTATTGGAAGGAATCATAGGACCAAAAATTTGGAAGGGAAACAAGGGAGTGCGGGAGAGAACAAACTGTTTCTAAGCACCTACTATGTGCCAGGCACCCTGCTAAGCGTTTTAGAATTGTTACCTTATTTGATCCTCACAACAATCCTGGGAGCTAGGGGCTATTATTATCTTCATTTTTATTTATTTATTTATTCACTTATTTATTTATTATTTATTTTAAAATATTATTCTATTTATTATAAATTTATTTATTTATTATTACATATTTATTTTAATTATTCCTTATTAGGTAAAGAAATTGAAGCAGTCAAAGGTTAAATGACTTTCCCAGAGTCACACAGCTAGTAAGTGTCTGAGGCTGAATTTGACTCAGATCTTCTTAACTCTACACCCAGAGCTCTATGTACTGTGCCACCTAGCTGCCTACAGCAAAGAGTTTTAGGGGAGGTCATTTAGTCCAATCTCTCTTTCCAAGAAGGAATCTCCCTACAGAGAATTCAGGACAGAGAAAGGCATTCTTTCCACTGATGCTGAGCATGACTTTTGTGTTTATTTGTTTTTGGTTTTGTTTTGTATTTTTTACAACAGCCAGAAAGGGTAGGGTAGATGAGTTCAAAGGGTTTCTGCCCCTTTAAAGTAGAATGTGGACTAGAAAAGTTAGAGAAAGCACTAGCTTAGCTAAAACATTTTTTTTTAAACCATTAGGACACAAAAATGGTCCAAGCATGGTCATAAAGCCCTCAGTGCCTTTTCCCCAGGAGGTGTGCTATATAATCCATTGTCCTGAAATGAAATTCAAACATAAATCAACCCTCACTATGTTTTTTCAACCAGATACTAAATTCCTGCCCGTTTTCTACCAGAAATACTTCAGTCATGGGGCAGCTCAACTTTTTAACACCAGAGAGAGACAACATGGAAGCTCATGAGGTCAGAAGCAAGATAAAGATGTGAAGCTATCTTATAGAAAGCTAAGATAGGATAGCCACTGGGAGGAAGGAATAGACTGTTAGATCAGGAAAATATCGGATTGCCTTTGGGAAACTGAAAAGTTCATTTCATGACGCCAAGCTTCTCTCCAGGGTAAAAAAAATAAAAGGTCACTATTTTTCTGATGCTGTTGCAAGGTTGTGAGTCACAGAACACTACAGCGAGCAAAGAATTGAAGGTGAAGGTCATCCCAAAAGCAACAGAGAGGCCCATGGTGGAAAGAAGCAGAACAAACCAGAATTACATAGGAGAAGTGGTTAAAAGATGTCATTAAATGAGCAGGCGAATGTCAGAAAAACCTGGAAAGACTTAGATGAACTGATGCTGAGTGAAGTGAGCAGAACCAGGAGAATATTGCACACAGTAACAGCCACATTGTGCAATGACCAACTTTGATAGACTTAGCTCCTCTCAGCAATGCAAGGATCTAAGAAAATTCCAAAAGACTCATGATGGAAAATACTGTCCACATTCAGAGAAAGAACTATGGAGTCTGAATGCAAATCAAAGCGTACTATTTTCTCTTTTTTTTTCTTTCTCATGGTCTTTCTCATTTGGATTCTTCTTTCACAACATGATTAATGTGGAAATGTTTAATATGATTATACATGTATAGCCTATAAAAAAAGAAAAATAAGTCTTAAAAAAAAGATTTCATCAAAGAAATCTATGTTAAAAGGGGAAGGGGGGAAGGTCACAGGGTGATAGGGAAAATGAAACAACAAGCATTTATTAAGCACCTACTATGTGCCAGGCACTGGAGTTACAAATACATAGAACTGAAGCAATCCCTATGATCAATGAGCTTACACCCTAGTCACCCCCAACATCACAATGCCCAATTCAAAGAGGTTTTTTTTAATTATAATAATAATTGCCAACAGACAGGCTGCTTACTCCACTGGTATTCTCAAGAGGACTCAAGGAAGGTCTCCATGATGTTGGGTGGATCTCTCTGGGTTGAAATTATGGGAGGATACTTACATCACTAATGTGTAAATATGTTTAATAGGAATATATATGTATAACCTATATCAGATTGTGAGCGTCTTGGGGAGGGAGAGGGAGAAAAATTTTAAACTCAAAAGCATATGGAAGTGATTGTTGATAAATCAAAATAAAATAATTTTTTAAAAAAAAATTCTGGGAGGATATGGATGAGAGTCTTGGAAGATGGGAAAGGATAGATGGGCTGTAGGTTACATCATTGAAAAGAATAGCCATATTAACCTTAAGGATTTGGTAAGTTCTCTTATAATATCATCGTGGTCAAGAGGAAAAAATATGGATTAGGTAAGAGTCAAATTAGGTACATGTGGAACCAGTTGAATGACCAGACTCAAAGAATGATTTATGAATTGGTGACAAGCTAGAAAGTAGCATACTACAAGGCTCTGTCCTGAGCCGTGTCCTGTTCGATATTTTTAAGCAACAATAAAAAGACAGAGACAGCTAACATCTGTACAGCACTTTAAATTTTACCCAGCGCTGTACCACCGTTATCAAATTTAATTCTTACAACAACTCTGTGAGGTAGGTGCTATTTATTATCACCCACCTTTTACAGATGGAAAAACTGAGATTGAGAGAGGATATTCTGTGACCTGCCCAGGATTATGCTTGCTCAGTATGAACTGAGGCTGGGTTTGAATCATTTGCTTATAAAAAGTCTACAAATTATTCAGAGCAAGGAGGGACAGTCAATACACTGGATGACTTAGGATGAGTGAGGATCCAGAAAGATTTGGACAAAGTAGAACAAAGGGCTGGATGGTACAGTAGATAAACCTCCAGCCCTGGACTCAGGAGGCCTGAGTTCAAATCTGCCCTCAGACACTTACTAGCTGTGTGACCCTGGGCAAGTCACTTAACCCTGCTTGCCTCAGTTTCCTCATCTGTAAAATGAGCTAGAGAAGGATTAATGACAAACCACTCCAGTAGCTTTGCCAAGAAAACCCCAAAAGAGGTCACAAAGAGAGGACACAACGTAACAACAAATGACAGAACAAATGGACGGTTAGATGAAAGGAATCCCCTCTAAGCATCCCGAGTACGGTTCGGTCATCCTGCCTCTGCTTGGAGCCCCCCCAATAAATGGGAGCTCACCACTTTCAAGAACAGCTCATTCCACCATTGGGCATTTCTAATTTGTTCGGAAATTTTTCCTTATGCTAAGCTAAAGTCAGCCTCTCTGTGACTTCTCATTCCTCCTGTTTTCCCACGTGGGGCCAAAGAGAGCAAGTCTTATCCACCTTCCATAAGAGAGGTGGCTTTTCAAATATTTTAAGATAACTTCCCCTCTCTTCCCAAGACTTCTCCAAACTAAGTATCACCAGTCCCTTCAACCAAATTCTCACCCAATCTGGTCTAAATATTGTCATTTGATCTTCACAACAAACCTGGGAGGTAAGTACTATTACTACTATTATAGATATTTAGCACAATAATATCCCATAACATTCATATGCCAAGGTTTGTTTTTTTTGTTTTGGGGTTTTTGTTTTTTAGGCAATTGGGGTTAAGTGACTTGTCCAGGGTCACACAGCTAGTTAAGTATCCAGTGTTTGGTCTGAGGTTGGATATGAACTCAGGTCCCCCTGACTTCAGGGCCGTCTATCCACTGTGCCACCTAGCTGCCCCCAAGGTTTGTTTTTGTTGTTATGTACGGTTCAGTCATTTCAGGCTCTTTGTGACTCCATTTGGGGTTCTCTTGGCAAAGACACTGGAGTGCCATTTGCTTCTCCAGCTCATTTTACAGATGAGGAAACTGAGGCAAACAAGGTTAAGGAGACAACATGCAAACAAATATATACAAAGCAAGCTAAAGGATAAATAGGCGATGATTAACTGAGGGAAGGCACTAGAATTAAGAAGGGCTGGAGGAGGCTTCTTGTAGAAGGTGGGATTTTATTTTGGACTTAAAGTAAATCAGCTAGGTGGCTCACAATGGATTGAGTACTTGCCCTGGGCTCGGGAGGCCCTGAGTTCAAATGCAGCCTCAGATACACTAGATGTGTGACCCTAGGCAAGTCACTTAACCTCGGTTGCCTCAAAAAAAAAAAAAAAGCCAAGTAAGTCGGTAGTCCCTAGGGAGTGAAGTATTAAGAAGACTGAAAAGGGGGGAGGGGGGTGTGGCTAGGTTATGAAGGGCTTTGAATGCCAGAAAGAGCATTTTGTATTTGCTCTTGGAGGCACCCAGGGTAGGCTCTTTCCCATCAAAACAGCAACATCAACCCAGGTGCTACAAGGCTTAGAATTCAATCGCCCCTAGACAGAAATTCATTCTTTCTTTTGAGTCAGGAAGTCTTTTATCCGCGGTTGTTTTTTTTAAACTGCAAAAATCAGAGAGGGATAGCTTTAAATCCCTAACACCCTAGAAGAACTGATTTGTCAGATCCGAGACATTCAATAAGACATTTATTCTGCACCTATTGTGCAAAAAAAAAAAGTAAGACCTAGACCCTTTCCTAGAATTCTTCGCCTTCCTTTAAAGCCCAGCTCAAATGCCACCTCCTCCACTGAGCCTTCCCTGATATCCTCCATGTCAGTAAGACCTTTCCCCCTCTGTAATCACACAGTACTTTATTTTACTCTTTTTTAATGATCTTTTCATTTATTGCTGCGTATTATAGTTATCTATGTATATCCTGGGCTAGGAGTCTGGAGCACTGGGTTCGGATTCGGACACTGAATCTAGCTAGGTAGCCTCGGATAAGCCACTTCCTCGGTTTCTCACTTTCCTGCTTTACACAACGAAAGGGTTAGATTAGAGAGTCTCTACGTGGTCTTTCAGTTTTCAATCCCATGAACCCACCGCTCCAGCCCAACCGTCACCCCGCCCCGCCGAGCTCAACAACAAGGGTTTGCCCTATACAAACATGGCGGCGCCCAGTGGACCGCTGCACTTCAGAAAGATGGCCAGCGGCGCCCCGCCTTCCTCCGCCCTGTTGACCAATGACAATGGAGCACGATAACCTGCGCCTGCGCTGTAGAAGCTGCAGGGGCCCCAACGGGCGGTGACTCGGGGGAGTGCTGCCGGGAAGATGCCTAAAAAGAAGCGGGAGAATCTGAGCGTGGCTCAGGAGGTGAGGGGAGGGGGGGCGCGCCCGGGTGGTACAGTCTGAGTTCTCGCGCCCCTCTGCGGCACCGACCGGTGGACCTGCCCGGCTCCCGTGGTGGGGGCGGGTGGGGAGAGGGGGAAGGGAAGAAGAGCGGGCAGGGAGGGAGAGAGAGGAGGGGGCTGAACGGCAAGAGAGAAGGGGAGGGGGCGGTTAGGGAAGAGAACCAAGGAGAGGGCGGCTAGGCAAGAAAAAAAGAGGAGGGGGCTGCTGGGGAAGAGAAATGGAGGAAAGGGGGAGGGGTTACAGAGGAAGAGAAAAGGGGGAGGGGGCTTCAGGGAAAGACAACTAGGGAGGAGCAGCTTGGCAAGAGAAAAAGAGGAAGGGGCTGCTGGGGAAGAGAAATAGGGAGGAGAACTAGACCAGAGGAAAGGGGGAGGGGCTACAGAGGAAGAGAAAAAGGGGAGGGGGCTTCAGGGAAAGAGAACCAGGGAGAGGGCGGCTAGGGAAAAGAAGAAGAGGAGGGGGCTGCTGGGGAAGAGAAATAGGGAAACTAGAGAAGAGGAAAGGGGGAGGGGGCTTCAGGGAAAGAGAACCAGGGAGGGGCAGCTAGGCAAAAGAAAAAGAGGAGGGGGCTGCAGGGGAAGATAAAAAGGGGAGGCTCTGAAAGAGAAGAGAAAAGGGGGAAGGGATTTGGGGAAGGGGGGAGAGAAAGGAGCTGAAAGGGAAGAAAAAAGGGGTAAGGGTTACTGGGAAGAGAATAGTGGGAGGGGGCTACAAAGGAAGAGAAATGGAGAGAAGGCTGCTAGCTAAAAGAAAAAAGGGAGGGGGCTGCAAGGGAAAAGAACGAAAAGGGGGAGAAGCAGCTAAACGGCAAGAGGGGAAGGGGAGGATGTCACTTTGGGCAGACCCGAGCAACTGAGCAGGAGAAATCATAAAATTTAGAGTTGGAAGAAACCCAATTCAGTTTAACAAACATTTATTAACTACCTACTATGCACGTTCCTAGACTGTGGGGGGAAGAAGCCTGTGACCTGTGATTTCTTAGCTGTGGGAACTCCCTCCACATGTGAAAATCACAACCATTCAATAATTTATAACCCTAAAGAGTCACCTGAGGCTTAAAGGTAATAGTGAGTTGCACTTGGTCACAAAGCTTACAGTCATAAAGATGAAACTTGAACCAGGTCTTCCTGTGTAGGAACAGATACTCTTTTCGCTATGTCAAGCTCAGTATCCGGGTCTTGTTATGATTATTATCATTACATCTGATAATGAGTGCCTGTGTGACTTTAGGCAAGTCACTTAACCTTACTGATGAGTATCCTCATTTATAAAATGAGAGGATTAGACAAGATGGCGGCCTTTGAGATTCCTTCCAGTACTGTGATTAGACATCCCAAAAGCAATAAGTTGCTTCTGAAGGCTTTTCAGCAATGTGACCCAATCACACTTGTGCTTTCGGTCAGGTTGCCAGCTGCATGGAGAATAGATTAGAGGGGGTTAGAGACTGAAAGCAGGGATATCAGATTGCTGCAATAATCCAGGCCAGGAGTAAGGGCCTGAACTAGGGTGGTGGGCCCTGTGAGTAGAGAGAAGAGTAATGGAAAAATATTGTAGAGGTAGAATCCACATGACTTTGATACTGATTGGTTGGAGGAAGGATGAAGATAAAAGAGAAAGAAAAATCAAAAATGACTCCAAAATTGTCAGCTTGGGCCACTAGTATTGCCCTGAACAAAAACAGGGAAGTTTGGAGCAGATGCTGAGGCTTCTAAGTGATGACGAGATAGAGCACTGGGCCTGGAGTCAAGAAGACCAGACTTCAAATGCAGCCTCAGACGCTTACCAGCTGTGTGACACTGGGCAAGTCACTTAACCTCTTTTGGCCTCAGTTTCCTCATCTATAAAATGAAGAGAATAATAGCACCTACACCACACCATCAGGGTTGTTGAGAGGATCAAATGAGATAATATTTGTAAAGTGCTTTGCAAATCTTACATAAATGCTAGCTAATATTATTATGGGGTATACTATATAGGGTAATTTCAAGAATTCAGGAGGGAGATTAGGACTCTGTATGTGCATAGAGATAACAAGCCCATGAGAGCAGAGGAGATCACCAAAAGAAAGAATGTAGAACAGAGTTTTGGGGGACAGGTACATGGAACTAAGGACAGGTTGAAGGGAACCCTAGGAGAAAGCCAAAGGAACCTGAAGTGGTCAATAGTATCTAAAGGCATAGAAACCCAAGGTTGGGTTTTGGTGAGGTGTGAATGGCAGGAGGTTAGGGGGCCAATATTTTCTTTCTTTTCTTTTTTTGATTAATATTTTATTTTTTTCTCCAATTACACATAAAAACAATTTTTAACTTTTGTTTCATAAAGAAATCTTGAGTTCCATTGTGCTATGATCAACTCTGATTAACTGAGTTATTCTCAATTTGCAATACTGTTATCCAAGATAATTCCAAAGGACTCAGGATGGAAAATTCTATCCACATGCAGAGAAAGAATGGATGGTGTCTGCAGATTGAAGCATGCTATTTTCACTTTATTTTTTTTCACGATTTTTTCATTTTTGCAAAGTATGATTTTTTCAGACTATTTCTTTTACAAAATGACTAATATGGAAATATGTTTTACATGATTGCACATATATAACCTATATCAAATTACTATCTTGAGAAGGGAGGAGGAAAGGGAGAGAGGGAGAAAATTTGGAACTCAAAATTTTATTAAAAAAAAACAAATGTTAAAAATTGTCTTTACACATAATTGGAAAAATAAAATACTATTAAAAACAAACAAAAAAAAAATACAGAGCAGCTAGGTGGTGGAATGGATAGAGCTCCAGCCTTGGAGCCAGGAGGACCTGAGTTCAAATCTGGACTCAGACACTTGACACTTACTAGCAGTGTGACCTTGGGCAAGTCACTTAACCTCGATTGCCTTACCAAAATATATATATATAAAATTTTTATGAGTTCCAAATTTTCTCCCTCCTCTCTCCTCCCCCTCCCCCCAATTGAGAAGGGGCCAAGATTTTCAGAGGATAGCGTCTAGTTGAACTGATTAACTGGAGACAATTGTGAATTGAATTGTAGAGAAAATGATGAATTGAGGGTCACAATAAGGACAAAAAAAATAGATTTGATGAGGCAGAGGGAGGTCTTACAAGTTACCGCCCCTCTGGGTGGATGTCTCAGACTGGAGATGTTGGTCATGGGAATGACTTAGCCCATTGGTAGAAAACTGAAGAAGGTGGAATGATACAATTATCAGTCTGAAGTGAAGGAGAAGCAACAGAATCCCGTAGTGGACGGGGGCACTGGCTTGGAGTCAGGAAGACGTGGGTGTAAGTCCCACCTCAGACACTTACTAGTGACCCCACTCTACTCTGTTTATCAATTTCCTCATCTAGAAAAGGAGAAGGCTGGATACAATGGCCTGGAAGGTCCCTTCCAGCTTTGTGTGTTATCCTTTGAGAAGTTTGAAAGAATAGTGGAGTTAGGGAATACGGTAAAATTAAGAAGCTAAAACCAGGAAAAGTGATGAGAGGGGTAGATTTTTATCTCCACTGTTCTGTGCCTTGGCAAATGGAGTCCCCCCTCTCTGGTACTTGTCTTTCTAATGAGATTCCAGATCCGTAGCCTGTGCACTAGAGGTCATTAAACATGTCAGGATCCTCTCCCCGAGAGGCCAGTAATTGACTCTGTTAATTGCATCTTTTGCCTAAGTTTTGGAATTCTGCCTGCTCTTTGCTTATAGTCTTAATTTTGACTTTAATGCCTTGTGGCATGGTGGTGGGAGCTAGGGGACCGGGGTTGTGGTCCCAGCTCTGCCATTAACTCTCTGTGAGGCCACGGAGGGCTTCAGTTTCTTCATCTGTAACATGAAGAGGTTGAGCTAGATGGTCTCTAGAGGTCCCTTCTCCAGCTCTAAAATTCTAGGATCTGTGATCTATGACCACATAAGATGAGAAGCTTTGTGGTTTCAAAATTGCTTTAGAATCTTGTGATACTGTCACAGGTTTTTTTGTTGTTATTGTTGTTTTAAGCTGCCACTGAATTCATGGAATAAAGAGAATCAGAATAGAAACATGGTTTAATAAGGAGACTGTGGACCCGGGTCAGAGTCCTGCTGCTAACTAGCTGTGTGGTCCTGGGCAGTTCAGTCCCCCTCTTTGGGTTTGTGTCCTTATCTGTCAAATGTGGGTGGTCCCTTCCAATTCTGTCATCCCTTTTTTTTGTGACGACAAAGCAGAGCAGCTAAGTAGTGCAATTGATAGAGTGCCCAGGCTGAAGTTAGGAAGTCATTGAGTTCAAATCTAGCCTCAGACACTTGCTAGCTGTGTCACCCTGGGCAAGTCACTTAATCCTGTTTGCCTCAGTTTCCTTATTTGTAAAATGAGAAGAAAATGGCAAACTACTTCATTATTTTTGCCAGGAGAACCCTAAATAGAATCAGGAAGAGTCAGACATGACTGAAAAATAACTCAACAATAACAACAGAGCAGGGGCCAGAACCTTTTTCACCTGGGGCAAAAAGAGTTGAAATGGGGAGCTGAGAGTGAAGAGGGAATTTTTGCCAGGAAAGAAGTGGTCTAGCCCTCCCTCCTCCAGTGGACCATAGGAGTGGATATAGGCTGGCAGTCTACATCAGCTACTGGGACTGTGGTCGCTACAAGGAAAAAGGTCCTCTGCTCCTTCCATGTCAGAGTCCTAGGAAAAAGCCCCATTTATCCTGCATTAGTTATGGCTCTTCCTGTGAAGTAAAAGACACCATCCCTGTCTGTCCTCAAGATATTTCCATTTTAGTTATGAGAGAGGAAACATTTGTGAACCAACTTGGAGAAACAGCCCATTCCTCAAACAGAACTTGTTGAGTCATTTCCAGGCCTGGACGATTCTTTGTGCCCCATTTGAGATTTTCTTAGCAAAGATAGTGGAGTGGTTTGCCATTTCCTTCTCCAGCTCATTTTACAGATGAATAAACTGAGGCAGACAGGGTTAAGTGACTGGGCC